TTAGAGCCACCTGCCCAGCCTACACTCTGGGCTGAAATAATCAACCCTAGGAACAGCCCCTTTGTTCCCTAATTGTTTCTATTGGTTCTAATGGCATGTCGTGGAATTCATTATTCAACAGCAACCATAGAGAAACTGAAGGAAGTTGCTTCTTTGTTGGAACTTTCCTGTTCCTGTACCTATTAACAGGGTGGTTTTGTATTATTCCTCTACAAGTAAGGTTTTTTTGCTTGGGAAGCTCCTTATGGTTGAATTAATTGTGTTATTTTGCTGAGGAGGCATGGGTACAGGCACTTAACCATGCATGTTTGCATTTTGTCTCTTCAGGGTGGAGAATCCATCAAGTGGGTGTTCCTTAAGTGTGCTTATGCTAGGGATGTGTGGACTCATGTCTTAAATATAGTTGGCATTGCTTCAGGAACCTCACACTAGTCCAGTTATTGCCTTGTTGGTATCTTAGGAAAGATGTTCTTTTTGGAAGTCAGATGATTCACCTGTGGGAGGAGAGAATTAGGAAGTTTTTTGGAAGCAAGTCCTCTTAAACACCCACTTATATACGAGTCATAGTTGTCAAGGTGATGCCCAGGTGATAAGACATTCTTGGAGGGTCACCTCACCCAAACACGTACATATTTATATGTAAGACACCATTGCAATATTTTTATATTTTTATTTTATGTTTTCAATAGTAGTACAATAGGTATTATTAGACTCAATGTTTTAAGACCTGAACCAGACCGGATGGTTGGACTATTAGACCTGAGAATCGAAAATCTTTCTGGTTTTTTAGAATCCCAGGTTTCACATTTCTGAAAAATCAGTAGAATCGGTCAGAACCCAGCAGAACCGTTGAAAATTGGCCAGGTTGGTAAATGCATAGAAACTTAAAATGTAAATCTCAAGATTCAAACTCGCAACCTGTCAATTAGCTTAGTTAGCTCATTACCATTAATCCATCTAGTTATTTGTGTTTCATATATATATATATATCAAGAGCTGTAGTCTTGGGCTGAGGGTTTTATGGTAGGTAAACTCCCCTTGAAGTATTTGGGATTGCCTTTAGGGGTTAAATGCAATTCCAAGTCTATCTGGGATCCTATTTTGGAGAGGATTGAGAAGAGGCTGGCTGGTTGGAAATCAAGGTATCTATCAAAGGGAGGTAAGCTCAGTCTAATCAAGAGTTTTCTTTCTTCCCTTCCTGTTTTCTTGCTGTCACTGTATCCAGTTCCAGCTGGAGTTGCAAATAAGATTGAGCGGAAGTTTAATAGAGTTCTTGTGGAAGGGATTGAAGGAAAACAAGAAGATTCATTTAGTAAATTTGGGGGGAAGGTTTGTAAGCAAAAAAAGAATGGAGGGTTGGGAATAAGAAAAATTCGGGAAATGAATTTAGGCTTACTTGGCAAGTGGTTTTGGAGGTATGGTCAACAAGGGAATTGCTTGTGGAAGAGAGTAATTGAAGCAAAATATGGTTCAAGAAATGAAGGTTGGGTTCCTGGAGGTGCCAATCAGTCACATGGTTGCTCGGTTTGAAAGGGAATTGAAAAAAGTTACAATGCTTTTAGCAAGGAAATCAAGTTTGTTGTGGGAAGAGGTGATGGAGTCAATTTCTGGATGGATGTTTGGTGTGGAAACAATAGGCTAATGGGTGATTTCCCTGAATTATTTGCAATTGCATCAAACAAGGAAGCTAAAGTGGCTGATTATGTCCAGTCCCAAAATGGAATGATTATCTGAAATCCTACTTTCGAAAGGGCTTTGAATGATTGGGAGATTGAACCATTAGGTAGGCTTCTTCAAAGGTTGTACAACAACCAAATAGATGTCAATGCAGCAGACGAAGTAGCAGAGAGCAAAGGCCAATTCTTGGTGAAATCTTTCTATACCAAACTGGTCCAGGAGGAAGAAGATATGTTTTTTCCCTGCACATTTAATCTGGTGCAAACACAGCCCATCAAAGGTATATTTTTTCTTCTGGGCTTCCTATTTAAATAAGATTCTCACAAGAGATAACTTGGTTAATAGGTGTGGTGAATGACTCTAAAATTTGTGTCTTGTGCAACAATGATGAGGAGTCTGTTGATCACCTGTTTCTTCACTGTGGCTTCACCCACAAAATCTGGGTGAGGATTGTCAGAATTTTTGCAATCAGAAGTTGCTGGCCCAAGTCTTTGGCAACTTTTGTCAACAGCTGGAATTTACAAGGCCTAAGCAAGAAAGGGAAATGGTTATGGCATCCGATTCCAGGTGCAGTGTTATGGGTGATCTGGCAAGAAAGAAATTCAAGGATATTTATTTCAAAACAAAAGCTGTCAAGAAGACGCAGTGTGGCAGAAGATCGTGGGGAAGCTCTGTTCTTCGTCATTGACTAAGTTTAATGTCAGTTCTTTTTGTAGCTCTCTGTTTAGTTTTGAAAGTCTGTTTGTATCCCCCAATGGTTTTGTGGTTTGAATCTATTCTTGTATCTCATTTGTACAGCCTCTGGTTGTACTTTTCTTTTTGAATGCATTGATACTTTACTTCTTATCATATATATATATAGTTAAATAAATGGATATTCACATAAAATATAGATGGCAAGTTTTGAACCTTGGACAATTGAGGTTAAAACCAATGAATTAACCATCTGGTCAATGCAATAAGATGTATATGTTAACAAAAAGTGTAAAATGTATTAAATATTCGAATCATGGTCAAACCGTTTGACCCACGGCCCAGGATGCAGTTTGGTTTTGTGTCCGGTCCAAGTCTTAAAACATTGATTAGACTAATTTATATATATTGTGGGTTTACAGTATTAATATTACTATTCTTAGACTAGTTTTCACAAATCAGTGACATAGTGTTGAACCCTTTAGGACTTAAATAAACTAAATTGATAAGTAAGAATTAACTTGAAGATTTTATCCAATTGACACCAAAACAAGGACTCAACCCTTATGTTTTGTATGCTTTATTTCCATATTTTTCTTGTCATAAATATGTTGATTCTATCTTTCGATATGGGGTTTATACTTATTTCATGAGAATTGGGGTAATTAGTAGTTAAAGATTACTAATTACTATGAAAGCTAGGGATCTACCCTACTATTTATATTTTTTATTTTAAAAACTCCTAGACTAGGTGACAAGGTGCTCCCCTATTGTCTAGCTTTGCTTGGTGCCTTGAAAACTATTGATAGCATTGTGTGTAGCAGCCTGTATAGGTCTCCATTTTTTACTTAAAGGATGCAATGGTAAAATATCAGGTTGACAAGTGTGAAAACAAGGGTTTAGTATTAGAGCAGCCACTTTGGGCAAAAAATGCTATAGGATAGGTCATGTCTAGTCCTCCCAAGGCCACCTCTTATTGCCAGGACCATCATTTAGTAATGGCCCTATTTAATCTTGTATTAGTGGTTAGATTAAAGTTTGATAGATGCTCTTTGGGGAACCAAGAATCTTCAGGAATTGGGATCTTCATTATTGATAAAGAGAAAGTGATGTAGGACATGGTGGGTGTCCTAATTCAACATCTGGTGGTGGGCTTTTGTGGGGTGAATGAGGGGATGTGGGTCATTCGAGATGAAGAATATGGATAAAAAAGCAAGTAGACTGCTTGCTGTCCACCAAAGAATAGAACTCTTGCTGTTGGGCTAAACAGCAAAGAGAAACTTTTAGAAGAAGAAATGAGAAAGTAGGGGGGGGGGAGAAAAATTCCTGGCAACAACCAGAATTCACTAAATGAAACTTTATTTCATCAAATAAACTCTCCTTGAACTCCAATTACAACTCTATTTATGGATTCAAACTTATTTAACTTGGTTGTCCCTTTACAAACTCCAATTTGGACTAGGAATTACTGTAAATAGTAACTTCTACCATAAATAGTAATTTTGAAACAGCAACGAAATTCTAAAAGACAGAACTACATACTTAAGAGACCAACAGCTAGAAAATAAATAAAAAAACTGAAACAATATTAATATCCTATAACCCAAAAGTTCTGAAATTGGTATATGAATTTTAAAATGACTTAATTCTCCATTGGTTCTTTCCTAGCTTCCACATCAGCAAAACATAACCTTGCTTTCTTTAATAGCAGCAGACTATTAAATTGTAACTAGGTGAGGCAAAGGTTTTGGGAGGAGTTCGTAGCTCTCGATGAAGTCAGGTTGTTGTTAGATATTTATCCTGGTGTATTGAGATAGATGTCTAACAAGTTGAATACAGTTGCTGATTCTTTCCCCAGATTAGGGATTAATAGCTGAATTCAATTGCCTATATGTTGCGAATCTTCTTCACCTTGGAAAACTTGTATATGCTTTTCATGTTTTACAGATATTTTCTATATATCCACCATGTACACCATTTTCTTGCAATTATCCCATCTCTTATATTAATAAGTTGTGGGTTTTTGAAGTTCATGAGCAATGGGTTGCAATTGCTAGAGTACCTTCTACACAACTGAGGAAGTCTTATATACCATCTTTTGGATGTTGACATTTGTGTTGATTTAATAGGCATTTACATGGAGGTGGTAGATGAAGCTGAATGTGGTAGAATCAACTAGAAACCTACAGGAGAAATTTTTACAATTTGAGAATAATTTGTTCTGTTGATTGCTGGTTGAGAAAATAAAAGCTTGCGTGCCATCTTGCTTATCAATGGGATTCCCGCCCATGGGTAGTTGCGGTGCACATGCGAGCATATCTTTTTTTCCAACCAGTCAATTCTTATGGATGATCTTCAGATTCATGCTTGGTTTGCTGCCAAGGCCTCATTCTTTTAATTCTTAGGGTGTGTCTATTTTCGTTCTCATTCTCTCTTTAGCTGGTAACCGCACACCGGAGAGCCCAGTTTTCCTGAGATCACAAGAAGGAAAATAATTCATGGTGCCCCCACAATTAACTACAGCAATGCTAAATCTTCTTTTAGCCCATTAGCTACTAATCTTATTATTATTATTTGTCTTGGCTGAAATTATTAGTACAGAATATAATTCCATATCCATTTATTTTCAGGATCATAGGTGACAAGTGGAGGTGGATTTTGTTTCCCAAGTATGGGTCTGTGGGATCCGATGAGTCATGTATTTTGTTTTTCATTTTGTATTTTCCCTCCCCTCTATTTTTCTCTTTGTCTATTGCTTTGTCTGGAGTTCTTCTATACATGTACGTGCTAGCTGTTGTGTTATGATGAGATGAGAACCAAGAGGGAAGGGGGTGTAGAAGAGAACTGTCTTTTTCGTGTGATCCATCATCATTAGTGAAAAGTATTAATGTTTTCGAACGGAAATATTTTAAAATTTAAAGGTAAATGTTAGCAGCTCTTGTTTAAGAGGTTGCTATGATTTGCGTCAAGCTTCAAAATTTTGCAATGTATCGGACTATATCGGCCAATACATATCGTTCCGTTATAAGTCTGATATACGGAACGCATAGAAATCTGTAGTGTTCCTTTTCGTATGTATTGGTCTGTATCGGGCTGTTTCGGGTCTGTATCGGTTGATACAGTTCCGGAACAGTCTGATACAAGTCCCCTTCTTTCTCATTAATTTCATTAAATTATATTTAAGGCTGAATTACTTCATTAATTATATATTTATTCCTATATTTAAATGAATGTTTCTAATTAATTAGTTAATTACTCCTATAATTAATGCATAATTTTAAATTTTGAATTTCAGTTTTAGTGCCTAATTGGAATTCTTTTCTCATTAATTTCGTTAATTAATAACTCTCTTTCTCATTAAATTCGTTTTGTTAGTATAAAACTACAAATTAGCAATAGCAAGATTCGAACCCTAAACAAGCAATTTTTCTCTTTTTCTTAATGTATGCTTATCAATAAATGTTAGAATTAATTATTAAAATTTATGTATTAATAAATATTAAGATAAATTATATTGATTATTTTAAAATTAATGTATATCAATATACATTTTACTATTTTAGTTTTTTCACGTTTTAGTTATTCCATCATTTGTCAATAGTTACTAAGTGTCTTGATATCTTGAATTTTATATAGACCATTAAATTATAGTTTTTTTACTTTTAAATAACTCATTTATAATCATCTAAAACTTGTAACTATCGTTATTAATATATTTTTTAGGATTTATTTAATCTTTTTAGCATATTTATGCATATCTTGATTTTTTGTCCGTATCCATACGCATCCAAAGCGTATCTTGATACGTCTATTAAAATTATCTTTCCGATACACCTTACGTTTTCGAAACTTTGAACCTTGATTTGTGTGTGGCGATGGTTACCCAAAACTTGCACATCTTAGTGTAGGTTGTAGGCATAATCCATTGGGGACTCTTGGCTACATGAAGACCTTCATGGCTGAGACAGATGCCAATTCCTATTCCTCAACTCAAGCTTAACCAATGTTTTAAAACTTGACCCAAAACCAGAAACATTTTGGCCACCAGTTTATGGGTTGATGGTTTGACTGTTTAGTTTGAATGAAAAGCCTGTTTGACAAAAAAAAATATAAAAATAAAAAATAGTTAAAATAAAAAATGGCTAAAAACCATTAACGGGTTGATAGTTTGATTGCCTGGGTTAACAAGTCATTGACCAATTCAATGGTTTTTGGCTGGAGATCGGGTTTGGGGTAAATGGAATCGGTTGCTTGGATGGTTTTTGGTCTGAATGGTCTGATCGTCTAGGTCAATGGCGGTGCAAAAACATTGAACTTAACATTAACATCATCGACATTTATTTAGGTGTTGGAAATGTTTTGTTTTAAAAGATCTTCTAAAAGGTTTGATAGTCAGAAGACAATGAGCTTTTACATAAAGATCTTGGCAATTTATAGACAGTTTGGTTGGAGGTATGGTATGTCTTTCCATGCAAAGATGGGATTTGAGAAAGCCAAAAAGGCTAGAAGTTCCATTTCTAGTTTCCTGAAATAAGAGTGAATAGAATTTCTTGCTTCTTTTCGGGGCACAACCTTTCAGTAGAAAGATCTTCCAACCAAATTGGGGAAGATGCAAATGTAAGCTACCAAGTTTTTAAAAAGTCGATAACCCGCATGAAAGGCATGCCAAACGGGGCTTTAGTTAAGCTTTTATTGTCACATCGTCTCCTCCCTATGGACTATGGAACACTTGAAACATGGGTGTTAGCAGTTTGCCTCCACTTCCAGTCAATTAGGGCTGTCAATGGGTTGTGTCAGACCCGATAGACCCGATGGAACCAGACCGATTGGGGTGGTTCTGGTTCTTAAAAAATTCCCGATTATTATCGGGTTGGAACCGTGTCCACCTTATCCCAACAAGATTTGGACCTTACCATTTCTTAATAATCTGCTCAGAAAGGTCTGACCAGATTTCTTTTTTATTTCTGAAACTCACTGTAATGTGACTCGATCACTATCAATTTTTTTTTAAATAAATTTTCAGGCATTTCATATTTGAATGTGGATAGTGTTGGTAGATCCGGTGGTTTATGGTGTGATTCTATTCACATAGATGTTCATAAATCTTCTAATGTCATCATGATTAATGTTCATAACTCTCCAAATTCCCTTCTTCCGGTACTGGTTATGGGTGATTTAAACGCCATTCTTGGTAACCATGAGAAGATTGGAGGTCGACATGCAACCCTGAATCAATGCTTTATGAACACTTTCAATTTAGTTGATTTAAGTTTCAAAGGTCCCATGTTAGTATCAATTATATATGGGCAGATTACTCTTTTTGTTTATGTTTAATATGAGGTGTAATATTGAGTTAGATGATGTGTCCCATACTTAAGTGGGGGCACAAGAGTTATTTTCAAAATAGAAAGCTAAATACATCCTAGCTGATTGGAGAGACTTGATTTTTCTTTCCTGTTCGAACCAGATTTCTCTCTTCACTCTTCTTCTTTCTTCCCTCTCTTTTCTCTTTCTCTCTTCTTTATCTTTTCCTCCCTGATTAATCTGAAACAAATAGGTGTGCAGATCTGAACTTTATCATGGTATCAGAGCTTGATTAGATTGGTTAAGATCTGTACAGTTTCTGCACACCCTAGTTGAGTAATTTACAAATTTCTCTTAGGTTTTTGGAATTTGACAAAAGGGCTGAAAAGGAGTGGTCGTTTTCTTCTTCTGCAGGTTTTAATGCCTCCGATTGAGTGTGGTGTGGTCGTTTCAGGTGGCTGGTAGGGAACCCTCTGATGGACCGAAGAGGGTTGCTACAATAGTCTCGTGGTCTGTGTTCAGACGTGTGGTTCAGATAGGTGGCCGAAGTTATGTGGAGTGTTGGTGTGATATCCTTGTATGTGGTGGTTTCTTGTTAGGTGCCGAAAGAGGAAGATAGCAGTAACGACCACTGATGAAATCTGTGATAGTGGATGTTTCAGCAATGGTCAACCGTAAGTGTGGAATAATGGTGATTGTTCAACTATAAGGGTGTGGTGTGGTGGTTGTTGGTGATTAGGGTGATATATTAGTGCGAGAGAAGAAAAAAAAAATTTTTTTAGCAGCTATGGGAGACAGCAATGAACACAAATCTGTTATGATTCTTCATGATTACTTGAATGTGCAAATGACCTACATTAAACTTAATGGAGAAAATTACGTGCCTTGGGCCAAATGACTTACATTAAACTTAATGGAGAAAACAGTTCATGACCGCGCAAATGTCCAAGGGGCAACAAGTTCATGACCATTGTCTTCGGATGATGGATTACACCAATGAGCTTGAGGCTCTTGGATCCGGGCTGGATCACACGACCCAGATAGACGCCATTCTCAACTCTTTGCCTCCACCCTTCAATTCGTTCATAATGAACTATAATATGAATAAGCTGAATGTCAATGTTCAAGAACTCAACAATATGTTGTAGAGGGCCGAAGAACTGATTAAGAAGGATGAACTCCTAGCCATGCTTGTTGAAACTGGCAAGAAGGGCAAGAAGAGGAGGGCAAAGAGAAAGTCCCAGAAGAAGGCCACCAAACCCAAGAAGCAGAGGAAAGACAAGGCATCAGATGTCTGTCATTTCTGTCATCAGGTCGGCCATTGGAAGAGGAATTGTCCTCAATACTTGGAATCCAAGAAAGGTAATTTCGAATCTTGTGTCATAGAAACCAATTTATTAGTAGCTTCTACATCCTGGTGTATTGACTCCGGGGCTTCAACTCATGCGTGTAACTCACTGCAGGGGTTCAAGGTAAGCAGAAGGCTGAGTGAAGGAGAAGTAACGCTTTACTTGGAGACTTCTACAAGTGTTACAGCTACAGTCATAGGAACCGTAGAATTAATT